CAGGGAATCGTCCCGATACTTTTATCTCTTGCTTGGACATCACCTTCCCCTCTCTCCCATACCAAGATACAAATTCAAATACCAATTTGCATTGGACATAACTCCAAACGGGACCGCATCCAAGAATAGTGGATAGTGCAGGAAGATTATTTCCCTGCTGTCTTATCATCTGCTAGGTTCAAAAAAAAAAAAAAAAAAAAAAAAAAAATCAAAAAAGAAAAGAAAAAAGTTTCCTAGCTGCTTCCTTCAAGCAACATACGCCATCGCCCCATGACCGCGCGGTTCCTCACAGTAGTCGTCCACTAGTTGTAGTCCGAGTAGTGGGAAATACCCGTCATACGGGCAATCCAACCACCAACCTTATCGCAACAAGCCTAAACCCATTCAGCCAACCGATTGGCTCCTCTATCCAACTACGGAGCAACGCCCTTGATAGCCTGCAGCACCAGGGAAGTTTCTTCGCACTTCCGCTCATTCCTGTGTGGCTGCATCGCAGCGAGGTTCTTGGGACGTCCTCCAGCCTCTCCTGCCATCTGCATGTATGCACAGTAAAGTACAGATTACGGAGTTACATGTCCATGCACAACCCTGGTGAATCGACTGGAAGGAAAAAGAACTCCGGAAGTGAGTGCTCTTCCCGTCCTACTTAGATTAAGAATGCGAGCAACGAAGCTGGCTATATCTGCGGTTACCGCGGCGCGCTAACCAATTAGTTGACGCAATTCTCGGTCAGTGTGAACAACCCACTCTCAGTTCAGTGGCTTTTGGTCAATCGAGGAGTTTCTGTGTAAAGGGCATCCCGCCTTCTCCTACAGTGTACTTTTACGACGACATGAGAAAAACAAAATCCAATAAGAAAACGAAAGAGAGCATAGTAGGTTCATGGGAAAACTCCATCATCAGCCCATCCCTGTTGATTCCTTCACCCCTTTCTTTTGCGTTTCGTTTGTTTTGCTTCCTTTCTTTCTTTTGCTTTCCCATGCGCACATACAGTACGATTCCAATCACTTGATTATCTTATCTCATAAACCTGGTGAGGTTACAAACCATGGCGTATGTATGACTCTTATTGTTGCGGCCCGTGGGGCCGAAGTTAGCGCGGGCTCGTGCACACCCATAATTAGAACTCGGTGAACTTTACTATGTAGACTTGGGATGTCCAATACTGGCTGGCCTTTGGTGTTCGAGTATGTAACTGCTCCGTGCCTTGATGTAATCCGTGCTTATTTCTGGGGGAAAATGCGGAGGCGTGGGGACAAAAAGCAAATCTCAATCTCTCAATACCAGACCTCGAATGATCTTCCGATCCCCACAGCGGAATTTATGGGGTTATTATTTGGCCTTGACGCCGAAGCAGGCCGCCCTAAACTCACACCAACCGTGTTGTAGCTTGCGTAAGGACTCTTATTATTCCACGCCTCCGTACGGAACAAAAATTATTAAGGAAGCAGGTCGGGCCAACAAGTGGATGATAGTAGTTGCCATTGAAAAGAGTTCCTTTGGATGAAAACGCACACCACAAGAATCCGCGAGAGCTTGAGAATTTAACCGCCACAACTACCCTCCTACTTCCTCCAATTCTTGTGTGGATGCCACCGCTTATCCGCATTTCATTTTAACATTTCAAGTATGCTCCATGTCTCGCACATCATTGAGCTTTGTTTCTCTTTATATATATCCTTTTGGTTTTTGTTTATTCCAACTGTCAGTAAGTAGCCTTCCCGGACCAAGACGGATGGGTTTTTCACCCACCCGGAAGCTCCCCGGCCAAGACACAAAACTAATCGCCCTTAAAACCGAACTCACTTTTTCCCCAAATTTTAAGGCAGTTTAATGAAGGAAAATTATTCCTCTTGACCAATTCACAGACGAAGCCGCCACTCACGAAAATATAGCCGGGGTGGAATTTCGTTTTTGGATATGGTTTGGATAACTATAGCACATTGTCTCAGTAAATCCAAGGTCCAGGAAGTCCCCATCCCCATCTTTCAGGGATATTCAGGGATATTGTTAAACTTTCTCATCCCAGGAATGGAATTTTGGCTTTCAAGAATAGAATGATGTTATCCCTCATCAACTCCTGGTCAACCGACTTCTCCTGTTCTCTCACTTGATCACTACGTCAACTTTAACTGCGACGGGGTAATGGTGATAAAAAGGAAAAGGGTCTCGATGATGGAACTAAAACCCTGGCACTTGATCCTTCTTTTTAGTCTCACGTGGAAGGAAAATCAACATCCATGGATACACTGCGTATGTATGTATATATAAAGGGGGAAAAAAAAGAAGCCTCAGAACATTTCTGCATGTTCATGGTTGATGCGCCCGGATTTCTGCATGTAGTTAAAAACAGCCATTCTCTAGACTGATCGGAGAGATCACGGAGGGGACCAATCCCTGATTGATAACTCCCTCGCTAATACTGGATTTAGCGAGCCCTTTACGCTTTTCTCAGAACGCCCGCCTCGTTGTTACCTTGCTGACATCGTGAAGTTTGACCTTTACCAGATTTTTATGAGAGATACGCTGTAAAGAACCATGCTCATCCTTCCGCCCCACCAGCGCGATATACGTAGTGCAGGTGAATGGTTTTTTTTTTTTTTTTTTTTTTTTTCCCTTTTTGCGCCATGAAGATAGGAGAAGGTCGGATGTTGTGCGGTTTAGAGGGCATAAGATTCTAGCTTTAATGAATGCAATGCTTGGAAATCTACATGTCTTAAGTTGAGCCGCTTTTGAACCGTTCTTGTTCCCGAGACAGGTTTCAGGGATTTTGGAATTTCTCAATGAGATGAGAACGACCTTTTCGCTCCCACAAACTTTTACCGTTGATTTTCGATTGTCCGCATTGTTTTGTCCGATATTCCCCCGCTTCTCCATGAACTGGCGCTGAGATGAGATTGACCGGAGGGTCGCCTCGCTAGTCAACCTTCTTTTCTAGTGTGGGGTCAAGTTTCTCTTCCACGGCTCAAAGACGACGAGTGGTTGCCGGTTTTGTGGGCAGTGTTTCATTATTACACAGAAACAACGCGATGGTACTAATGCACCACAGTGAGCATTTCTCCTTAAGGAGTGGATGCAGCTGAGCAAACTGGTGTGCGCGGTTGAAGTAACTTTCAAAAATTTGTCTAAATTTAGTCGGAGTTTAACTACGTTAGTTCTTATGTTCAGTTGAACGCCAGTCTGTACACACTGTCCCTAAGTTCCCGACTTTTGCCGGCATTTTGATTGACTATCCGAAACTGCCTCTGATGGCATTTTGTGGTCGAGTATTTTTTTCAGAGCAAGGGAAAGAGAGCCATATCAGATGTATAGTTTCGTCGGTCACCAGCTCGGACAACAATATAGCTGAGATGAGGCTTATAGGTGAACGGATTGGTGTTATAACTGAATTCGGCGCTTGCTGGTTGGGGGAATAAATCCTTTCGCCCAGCGCTTCCTTCGTTCGCGTTAGCCCTCCCCACAGAGATACGGACAAAAGAACCGACACATGCGCGATAGAATCACAAAACTTTAGACTTGTGTTGCTGTCAGATAAATTTGGATTGTGGGGGTATACGAAGCATATAGCTAACGTGGTCAAAATCTGTTCTCATTGGCAGGGTATCCTCGGGATGGCGGATACTTTGTCAGTTTGAGAGTGTCACAGCGAAGGGCAGTGTGTTGGCGAATTGAATGATCACCGTGAGAATGGTTGATTGACGTGCCTTCGTCGATGAGAAGAATTAGTTACTTCATTTTAGCTCGTTGTTAGCTGGTGTCACTGATTTTCGTCATGTGAGAATGTTGCCCTGGATCGAAACCAAAACTTCCCTTCGCCCTATCGCTGTGCGGCGTAGGTATCTTCAGGGAAAGAAAAGATTGTGTGCCGGTTTATCGTGGGCTTTGGGATTTCTCATTGATTGGTGGTCAGCACTAAAGCCTCGGAACATCGAAGCCTGCTAGTATCAAATTATCCAAAAAATTTGTGCGAAAGATGTCGCTTTTATCCAGATCATCAGCCTCCTCGCATTGTGCAATGACGTTATCAGTATGTCTGTAGGGATTTGGATACTCTTCCATGCTCCCATGCTCCTGCGTGAAAACCTCTAGCATCCAACGCTTGATCAATGATTGGGAGAGAGCCGAACGATCACGACACCCTTTTCAGCAATGGCAAATAAAGGGCCGCACTTGGGGAGATGAATTCCGTGCTTCCTGTACTTATGACATCAGTACACTGTGTTTACCCGCAAATACTCATTTTGATTCCTGTGAATTTGGACGGAAATATGCAGCCTGTATCCCTTTGGCACTAAACATCGGCGACCGATATAAAAATGGGGCGGCGCAAGGCTTGGCTGTGCTGTAGCCAAGAACCCCTTAGTTTCTCAGATCACCATTTTAACAAGATGCTGCTGCATGCTGGAGTCTGAAAACTTTACTCGCATTTTCTCTTTCAAAATTTATTCGCTCCCTTTTGGGTTTTAGCTAAGAAATGCAAGTATGCAGGCTCTGCTTCCCATATTTTAGAGAATGGATTCGATAGGGTCCTGTAACGGGTCAACTACTAAGGTCCATCTTCTGGGAAGTTCTCAGAAAATGGTATACATAACTGATGGGCCATAGTCATCGTACGTGGCTGGCTGCGTCCTTCGGCCTGCAATAGTATCAGAGATCCCCCTTTGGTCCTCGCTTTCGCAAAATTTTGTAAGTTTTACCATCAATATCAATATGTCTACAGATGTAGTTCTCTCATAAGTTTGTGATAGGGGTCTCTATCACTCCTGCGAATCATTGGCGCGAAAATAACCCTGCATACAGCCAGCCACGAACGGGCTAAACCTGTAGCAAGTTGAGCTTTATTTGACCGTCTACATTCACTCGTCTATCTGTTGGCCTATGGGTACTATTGACACCTAGGATTGTTTGCCACAATCATATATCACCGACTGTGCGCTGCAGTTGGCAGATCAAGGTTGATGCTTCCGCTTGTGACCAAATCGGGCCTGGGATTATACAGGTCGGACGACATAGTTAGTGGTTCACATTTAGTCTATGCCTCCTGTAAAAGGACAGTAGGAGTCATTAGCAAGCTTCGAAGAGACGATAAAATCAAAGGGGAAGAGATACGGTATGCAGCCATACAAAGTCACTGGAAAGCGAGCTAATTCAAGGGCAAACCACGTGATTTATGTGGCTGAATAAGGTGATGCAATATCGTTCGACGTGGCTTGAGGTGGCTATGAACTTCCTGGATCTTGAACTCCCTGACTTTTCGCATAACTGAAAGCTGGCTATCATCAGCTTGCAACGATGGATTTTTCTGTCAAAATGGATTAATTTATTTGTTTTGAGATATCAACTTGGGTTCGAGTGTAAGCTCGCGAAAGCATGGGCTCGTCACAGGAGGATTATGGGCTTCCGGACTTCAACAGGAGGTTCATCGAAGACAAGGAGCTCGAGCAGTTCGAGAACGCCCTCAGCGCTCCAGAAGCTGCACCTCTCGTTGCGATCAATGATTGGCGCCCCATACACCAGAGAGTGCGGAAACTGGGATCGCGTCGCAAGGCAGCCAACAGGACAGTCGACGAAACGAGGGAAGGATATTTGTACGTGCTTCTAAAATGGCCGCTGCTCTCGATCGTCTTGGGTTGGATTTCGGTTCTCAGTGTCCTCTACGTTATCACTCGGTTATACATTTACCTTTATGAACATCTCGTTACTTGGAGAGGAAGGAGACAAACTCTGAGAAGGCATATGGGAGCCGCAAACAACTATAGACAATGGAAGGAGGCCGCTGAAAAGCTGGATGCTTATCTGGGTAATGACAGATGGAAAGAAGTGGACGAATATGCATATTATGACCATGGAACAGTCAAGAGGGTCAAAAGACAACTGGAGACACTAAGAGAAAAGGTGGAGCTAACACAAACCAGTGAAGGTGATCGTGCCAAACTCTGCTCATTGCTGGAAGACCTCCGTGTGTTGCTCGAAGGGTGCGTCAAGAATAATTTCGCTGGGGTTGAGAATCCACGCCTATACAGCGAGACATACATTGGAACCAAGCGGTTGGTTCAAGAATTCATTGATGAAGTACATACCTCATTGCGGCTTATCCTTACAAGCAAAGATGTCCCTAATACTACCAAGGAAGTGTTTTTCAAGCAACTGGAAACTAATTACGGTCGTACGGCGTTGTGTCTTTCTGGGGGAGCTACATTTTCATACTATCATTTTGGGGTTGTCAAGGCTCTCCTTGATAATGGAGTACTCCCTGATATCATTTCGGGAACTTCTGGAGGTGCCCTTGTAGCCGCGCTGGTAGCCACGAGAAAAAACGAGGAGCTCAAAAAGCTCCTCGTTCCAGAGCTGGCCCATAAAATTAAGGCATGCGAAGACTCATTTCAAATTTGGATACGGCGATGGTGGCGAACGGGAGCTAGGTTTGACACCCTCGACTGGGCAGAAAAATGCAGCTGGTTCTGCAGGGGCTCCACCACATTCTTGGAGGCGTATCAGCGAACCGGACGAATTCTAAACGTCTCTTGCGTTCCGTCAGATCCCCACTCTCCTACGATTCTGGCAAACTATCTCACATCTCCCCATTGTGTTATATGGAGCGCAGTCATTGCTTCTGCAGCTGTTCCTGGGATACTCAATCCTGTCGTGTTGATGATGAAGAAGCCTGATGGGACACTTGCCCCTTACTCTTTTGGTCATAAGTGGAAAGACGGTAGTTTGCGAACTGACATACCGTTGAAGGCACTGGATATCCATTTCAATGCCAACTTTCCGATTGTATCTCAAGTGAGTTTTTCATTTGCCGTTTGGGCTATGCTAGACGGCTGAGAGGAATTACTTTTAGGTTAATCCCCACATAAGTTTGTTCTTTTTCAGCTCCAGGGGTAGCGTTGGTCGTCCTGTTACACATCGCAAAGGTCGCGGTTGGCGCGGGGGTTTCCTCGGGTCGGCCACAGAACAATATATTAAATTGGATTTGAACAAATGGCTCAAGGTCCTCAGACATCTTGAACTTCTTCCTCGACCACTAGGTCAGGATTGGAGTGAAATATGGCTGCAACGGTTCAGTGGGATTGTTACGATTTGGCCGAAATCGACACTCTCCGATTTGTATAACATCTTGACTGACCCTAACCCTGAGCGATTATCCCGTATGATAAACGAAGGGCAAAATAGCACCTTCCCGAAGATTCAATTTATCAAGAACAGGATGAAGCTGGAGAAGGTGGTCGCCGCGGCGCTGAAGCGGGATGGACGTGTTTCTGCTCGCCAGCTTAATACACCTTTGCCCCCCGAAATTGACCCATCCGCCAACGATGGTGAATTAGATCAGTATGATGTCCAATATGAGCAGCGAGACCTGGATAGGCGATCCCAGGATCGGGTTGACGGTACGAATAACCCACGAATTCCAGGCTTAGACAATCGACCACATTTAAGACACCGCAACAGCGTTCTTGAAGAAATTCGACGGCAGTCAGCTGTCTTCTTTGATGATGTCGATGAGACTGGCTTGAGTGAGGATGAGCAGTTGTTATCAACCCGAGAAAGACCGACGAGAGTTGGGTGATTAATTTTTTATGTACGTAATGACTCGACCGCTTGAATTCATTCGGCATTTCCGACTTCGGCGCGCACTTTTTTTATATATTTTTCCAATGTTACCTGGAGGTACAAACTTGGAGAGCGGTTGTATATGACTATAGTTGTCAATTAGCTGCGGCACTTTTGCGATGGTGGGTTTTGGTATTGACGTTTAGCGTATTCCATTTCAGAGTTGATAACTATACCCACAAGTCTTTCTTCCTTGGCTTGTATTGTTAAAATGAGTTAAAGAGTGATAGTAAGAACTCTAATTCCATCGTTACATTATAGATTCTAATATAAGATATTTGGATCGTATATAATACAATGAGATCCTGTGGTCAAATGACAAGCCACCTGTCAGTGACCTCCTTCGCTAGCTTCGTTTCCTCAGAGAAAGAATAGAGGCATTGCAAAGCAAAGGCAGCTTCACGAGTGAAATCTTCCACCCAGACATCCTTACTTGGAGCCCCACCACCAGCAGTCACAGGTATCTTTTTACCTTTCTTAAATCTCTCGCGCTCAGCTTCTACTTCCTCACTGAGAGCAAGACATCGATGATAACCCAGTACAGCTAAGTGTGTCAAGCCCAACATCTGCCAGACCCGCGCGAAGTTGAATTCTACCTCTTGTCGCTCCTGTGGAATAGGGCTCTTTTCTCTCACACGTCGGTATTCCTGCATAAACGACAATCCTTGCATGATGAGGTAGTGTCGGTTATCAGACTGTCGCTTAAGGGAGTGATGGATGTAACTGAGACCGATAGAGAGGAGAACGACGGGGTTCTCCGGTGCGAGGGCATACGCGCGGAAAAAGTAGTTGAGGGCGTTTGTGAAGCTTGTACCGGCGTAGAGTATATGTCCGTATAGCACTAAGAGCGGGATGTCCATGTCTTCAGCTGGGATGGGTTGGCCAGATGCATCCTTGGTGGTAAGGGTAGCACGTTCTTGGAAAACGGAAGCTCGAGTGCGGCGGGTTTGGGTAGGTCGCAGCGGGTCATCTGGGAGGGTATAATCAATCGCCTTTATTTGACGCAGCATGAATTTCATGCTGGGGGACGAATGGAACAGCGATTTTCGTGGGTCGCCACAGAGTCGGCTTAGTGTTGCGAAGAGCCGGTATGTGTCGGTTACGAATTGGTACTCCTTCATGAACCAGCGGGAGATGTTGGAGAGTGTTTCTTCGTCCTTCAGCCGGAGCGCGCAAGCTGTCGCTGGCCGTTAGTCATGCATATAATTTTGTTTCGATGGTAATCCACGTACTGAACCAGCAAGTATAAATTTGGACTTTGCTGGGTTTGGAATGATACCAAATGCTAGCATCGGCTGCAGCAGAAAGGGTGTCGTATGCTTCTTCAGATTGGCCTTGCCCAGAAAGGACAAGTGCATATTCCAGAAATATATCCAGCCACTGTTCGAATGATATAGAATGGTAATCATTTGGGATCGTCGCAGGATCAATTTCGGGGGTTCCTAGACCTGTAATTAGCAGCGCTTTAACATAAACAATTGAAGGTAACGCTTGCCTAAAGTTGCCTGAAGCCGTCCAGCCATTTCCTCCATTTCGTCCATGATTGTTGTCGATTTCAGGCGTCCAGCTTTCCGTTGGGCTTCTCTGGAATATCCCGAGAATATCATGTTTCTTTGCATGGGGAAAAAGACACGATTTGATCGAAAATCTCGTAACAAAGCATCCGCGATATCCAACCAATCTTCCGTTACATCCTCTTGACCTTCTCTCATTGCTTGTTCAAGATCTAGCAATTTAGAGTACAAATACCTGATATGGTCAGCGCCGACATATTCTTCTTTTGCCTGCCGCCGCTTCTTAGAAAGGGGAGCAGCGGAAGTCACGAGGCCACCGGGCACACTGGCTGGAGGAGTGGTAGTTCTCCAGTTTTCGATTTCTGCCCCAATAGGACCCTCATAAATTGCCAGTGAATTACCCCCAGACTCCGTTGAGCGAAACTCTCTCGCAAGCTGTAAAGCCCTAGAGCCAAATTTCCGCCTTCGCCTTGGCATTGACTCCTGTCTTCCTAATTCAATAGCTTCGTTGACATATTTTAATGCTTGTTCAATCATACCTAATTTTTCGTAAAATTTGGCCAATTTCGCCCGAGCCACAATATTGTTCCGATCATATTCGACCACCGTTAAATAACAGTTCTCAGCTGCTTCATCATTTTCGCAAGCGACATAACATTCAGCCATGGACATAAAAAGACTTGTATCTGCGTATTCGTGAGTCCTCTGGAGTGGAAGGTAAAACAATATTGCGTCTTGGTGTAATTGGGCATCTTTGAGTGCATCGCCTGCCTCCCTGAACAGATCTCCGAAATCATAGAGTAACGCGCCTTCCGAGGAGTCATCCGGGTTTAGCCACGAAAAATGAGACTAATCTATAATCAACTTTCTCACCTGCGAAGAGGATGCATTCAACAAACAACACAAAAGCACTTACCAACGCCTCTTCTCGATACTGGAGGCCCAATTTCAACCGATATATTCCAAGTTTCACGCGAAGCTCCAAGGGAAGGCCACTCCCGTAAGACTCGATCGGATATTTATTTGGGACAAAAAAAGCGACCTCTGATCGGCGAGGGAAATGTTCAGCATCAAACTCTCGGTCGTCTTCAACAATATCATCCCATTCCACATTATCTTTCCGCCCTAGCAACCATCTAGAAAGAGATTTCAACATAAATATTCCCTGTTCATGGTCGTCCAGATAGCTAAAAAATTCAACATAAATGTTCACATCAGACCATGTAAAGTCGGTGGCTTCCTCCAAAGTTAGGGACATATAATATGCGATGCTTTCGTCGTATCGACTTTTTGCTTTATCGACTTCGTTCAGATCAATATAGGTCTCTGCGAGAAGGCGGAGCGCTGTTGTATTGTGCGGTAGATCCTTTAATAACCTTTCGTACTCCTGAGCGGCTTTCCCATTATGGCCCAACTCACGGTACACTGAGGCTCTTTCAAATCGTATGTCGTAATTTTTTTGATCGATCTCAATCACGCGGCTATAACAGTAGATTACATCTTGCAATGCTGAGGTCCGATCTTCTCCGGTTCTTTCTAAGATCAATTTCGCAACTTTCATCCAGACGGACGGATCTTTCGGTCGTGTGTGCGCGCCACTGAATAGTGCAGCAAGAGCTTTGTCCTTTTGCCCTTGAGCGAGAAATATTTCTGATAGAAGAGAATGAGCAGCAAACATTTCGGGATTGATCTGAATGGCCTGCTTCACGAGAACCGTGGCTCTCTCATAGTCGGCATCAATGAAGGCAGAGGTTGCCTCAGAATGTAAATTCTTGAACTCCAAGCTTGGTTCTAATGGCTTCCTGGGACCTCTTTTGATTCCTTTTCCACCTCGTGCACCGAAATTATATGGCCTGCCAATGGACTGACGTCCCCTCCTAGCCCTACGACCATATAAGCCCAAGTCGGGATCGACATCTTCACTGAACTGATCGGGTTCTTCAAGACTTTCAGATTCACTCCTGTCACGTCGAGTTAGCTCAACATCTAATTTTGCAAGGTTTGCAGTATGCACAGCCTTACGAGCCTCCTTCAGAGATATGAAGGTCTGGATTGTCCATGGACGTCTCTAGCTCACTTGAATACGTCTGGCGTCTGTTTCTGTTGTAATAATCATCATATCCCTCTTTTCTGCAAGAAGTATCACTCGCCGAAAGTTCGGATTCACTCCCCGAATCCATGTCAACATCTTCATTCTCAGACATGGCGTGTTGAGTATTTGGTTGCCGGGTCGGTCGAGAGCTTGAGGGAATATCAAGATAACAGCCAGTTACGCCCACCTGAGTATTCTCTGTGACTATGTAACTTTTTAACAAAGTGGTGGAGATTCAGTAGTGTTTTGTAATCTTCCTTCGGAGGGTGGCCATGCTCTTTCTCCTGAGAGCAGTTTCTGCAAGAGCAACACACAAAGAACTGAGATAACAGTAGGGAAACTCAGCGATTACGCATGTTATAACGCCCAGAACTGGAAAAAAGAGCTGTTCGTATATGAATTCCGTACTACCTACAACGCATTTACGTGCTGTGCCGAAGCGCGGCTCGGTCACGTTACCAATCGCTGGAGAGGTTCTGCCCAGTTTGCGATCTGATTGGCTGGGAGCACTTCATCCATGCTCAAAGGGACGAATTACTCCTCCACATGCAAGTTAGTTAACTATGTCAAAATCATTGGGTAACTATTCGTCAAACGCGACATGATTCTTTGGTTGGTGGTAACATGAGACAGCACAATAAATTACAATTTTTTTGAGGATTCCGAAAATCGGATGTCCGCTCTCGCTTCTGCCAGCAAAGTGGGGTCGGGCCACTTTTCGTTTCAAAATTCCCTTGGTGCTCCATTTCTGAAAAAAACTCAGTTGAGAACGAACTTGTGCAAGTCTCCACCTCCTTATCAATATCAACCTTTGTCCAATATCAACCAGCTGCGGGACAAAATTTGATGTCCAATCCTTTCAATCAGCATCGCTTGGTCGTTGATTATTTGAAGGACGATGTCGAGTTAGCCTATTTTTGAACACGCGATTCCAACCTGAGCGAAAGTTTGCCAGTCCTTTTCTCTAGTGCCAAACTACGGCGAAAATCGTGGAATATCATTCGAAGCTTGAGGGGATGGGGCGTCGAATACCAGGACGCCCGATATCCGCCAATGAAAAAAAAAAACCAAGTGCTTAGATTTTCATTTATTACAAAAGGCGTATACGTATTAGCGCATACGGGGTTCTATTTTCAACCCTGAACAGTCTCTGGTTTCCAACAAGGATGAGGCTGAAATTTAGCCTGCAAAAGACCTACATCCTGCGAGGGACCGAATGACTGGGAGCTTCCTTCTGGTGATTGGAATTTGTAAGAAGGAACAAGTATTTTTATCTTTATTTTTGGTCAAAGACGGACAATATTGAATATTTATCGAAACCATGAGATGGCCTCTTCGCGGCCTCGTGCTTGCAGCAACCCTCCTTGTTACAGTTACGTTTCTCTACTTGCCTCAACGGAGACAGCCGCTGGTCCACACGGGCGTCCAAAAATATTTCACAGTATGGACAATTCCTTTGCTTTTGAACCTCGGTCCTGCCCAGCCGCATTTCTCTATCATGGGTATCGTGACACTAACCCTTTTGTGTAATACATAGTGGGATAACCCGGACTTCGCATACTTCAATAATCAGTTAATTCTTCACCTCGCATCAGCAGTTCACAACCCTCTCCCAGCCCGAAGATTGTTATCACCAGGCATCACCTGTCCAGCGGTACGAGGTGTTGCTACATCGCAACTAATACCGGTCACCCATGTTTTTAATGCAGCGGGACTCGAGAAATTGGGATACGACACGAGGCCTCAACTTGCTAGCAGTCTACAAAACGCATCGACTTTAGTGGTGGATTTCACGAGCGAAATCACCGAAACGCCAGAACAAGTTGTCCGCATTACCGCGCCAAGCGAATCATATTGGCAACATTCTGCATTCAGCTTTGTACGGGACTCATTCATCCTTCCTCTTCGAGCCGGGCCATGGAGAAAAGCCGCGCGCTTATTCACACTTTCAGATCCTCTCGATGCCTGCGTGAGGGATATGCTACCCGACATCCTTCACCACGCAGTTGCATTGCATATTCGAACTTGGCCATCCGACCTCTCCTTTGGCCAGAAGGACCCTTGCCATCAGAATGAAATCCCCGTCCTCCGCAATGTATTCGGCAAATGTGACTGGACGGGTTCCTACCTTTATGACAATGTTAAACGCATGCAGTTAAACCCGGACCAGCCTGTGGTTATTGCGACCGATGACCGTGAAGGTGAAGTTGTCCGCGACCTTGTAAAATTGCTCGATGGGCGAGCTCATTTCATGGAAATGACCCACAAATGCAAGGAGGCTATTAGGACGGCACATCCGGAGGAGGAGCATGAGTGGCGCCTCGCTGCGTACTGGCCGATTATTGAAGCAACAGCTCTGACACGAGCTGAGTCCTTCATAGGATCCTTCTGGTCGACCCTTTCGCAACTTGTCGCCATCCGTCGACCTACCGAACGAACTTTCTTTTTCCAAACTCGTTGGCAAGCGTTGGTTTGGGATTCTCGAGTGGCGCTTGGTGTGCTTGTAATCCTCGGGATAACATACATGGGATACACATGTTCCCGCCGTGCTCTGGCAAGCCGACGGAAGCGTATGGCAGCTGCTAAGAAGCCTGAGTTTATTGCTTCTCCATAGCAAGGGGCCTTGAATGTATCTTTGAACATATTGTGGTTTGGATTCTCTTCTTGGAGTTGGTTGGATATATTTACTTTTGTGAGGCATATCTGTACGTGTCAACCCTTACCATTTTGTTTCGTTGTAGTTCGATATCCGCACCATTTCCAATCCTTTCCCTGGCGTTTGTGGCGTTAGCATTATTTATTTACTCGTCGAAGGACGTGGCTATTTGCCCTCTGTCCGGTCCTTTTTTTTTTTTTTTTGCCCCATTTGTATCATTCTCAATCAAGGAAATGTATTAAATAATAATAAAGATGATCTGAGTTGATTTCTATGGAGTTATTTGGCCAAATCTATAATTTGGGCTCCGCTATATAAAATATGCACATACTTGCCGGAAGTTCGGGAGCAACTTGTTGAATGTTAGCACAAGAAGCGATATGGTAAGGGGGTGAGCATCCATCTCACTTCCGCTTTGTTCGATCGCTGCCAGCTACATACTAGTTACGGAATTTCCTTAGTAATACCGACCGGGTGCTGTTCTTTCATTTGCAGTTGGGTTCTGGTATTCCACATAGCTTCCGTTGAACCTTTGGCTTTCCATGGTTATCCTGAGACCACTGGCGGATAGACGATCCCTTGTGAAGATCTCTAGATTTCAGAACGAGATCTGTGGGACAAAGACTTTTCCTTCAACTTGTTTGCACATCCAACAGGAGATGCCTCCAAAGCCGTCAAAGAAAGCAACGCCCATGCCTTCTGAATCTTTTCCCCTCCCAGCTGCAAGAAACGTCAACAAACCTGCACAACTTGCTCAAAGCTCGGCTGGTCAGCGGGTCCAGGCACTAAACCTTACTGAGCCGCCAAGCGCCCGGCATCCGGACGAGATGGGCTGAGTCAGCAGGGCCAGTTCGGTCCGCCGAAATCCTCGATCGACTTCAACTTTCTATGCAAACGTTCGTCCCTCTCCAGCCTCATCCTCTCCGTCTTCTTCCCCCTCCCCTTCTTCCATCCTCGTTCGTTCTCTACCACCAACTTCACTTCTCTTTCCCTAGTTCCGACCTCCGCCCGTTCTGGTAGTTAGACTTCTGCCTGTCTTTCGCTGCTGTGTTTGAAACACTGCTGTCTGATTTCGCATCTTCCTATTCGCAGCTTTCTCCACCAAATCAGCTCTTGGTCACTATTCGTCTCCCTGATACTTCCGTTTATTTGTGTTTCATGCCAGTTTATCCCCGTCATCCCTTTTTCCTCTCACCCACAATCAGTACAGCCACTGGACTGGTCTGTCTTTAACCCTTTGTCCAATCGGAACTCCCTCGTTGAGTGTCGACCTGAGATTGGAAAAGTTACCATCCTACCTCTCTTCTCCCATTAAGCGACTGGCAAATCGGTGAAACTATTTCTCGGGTTCGAACGTAATATACATACGCAAATTCAGCGGGTGCTGCAGGAGCTTTGCACTAATCAACATTCGTGCCCTAATTTAATAATTTTTCCCTCTAATCACCTCTCCGAAACCGTCCATTCAACGGAGCGCCTGCCTCCCCGCAGCTGCTCCCTTTATATTTTACCATGGCTAGCCACGTTATTGGAAACAGAAACAGTACACCAGAAGCATCAAAATCTTCGCTTCGACCCCCATCTTCCCGCGCCCTTGGTGGTGGCTCTCATCAGCTGCGTGCGTCCGCCGACATGTCTTCTTTTGCCTCTCCTCTTTCTACCCGAAGCATTCGGCCCTCCTCCGAAGTCTTCTATAACCAACAATCGCAACCTCAGAATACTGATGACATCGACAAGGCTGCTCAGCAGTGGATTGCAGATATTGATCAGTATGAGACAACTCTGGAGGAGATGGCAGCTGCCACCTTGGATCAAGATTTCAAAGATGAGCTAAGTGCTATTGAGCAGTGGTTTCGAGTTCTTAGTGAGGCTGAGAGAACCGCTGCTCTTTATGCTCTTCTTCAACAAACGACTCAAGTACAGATCCGCTTTTTTATCCAGGTTCTTCAGCAAATGTCAAAGAGCCATCCAATGTCTAGTGTTCTCTCTCCCGCCAATTTCGGCGAAAAAGGTAAATAACAGTGCCAATTTTGCCTTATCCAAGTATCAGTAGTTTTCTAATACATTGCCACAGATCCCATGAACAGCCGTCTCACTGATGCAATGTCCAAATTGAACGTTGAAGGTTCTCGCAATTCTTTTGGTCGCCCGCCTCTTTCTCCTGGGAACAAACGTAACTCAGGGCTAGATTCATCCACAATCAACGCCATGTTCCCAGATGCTGCTGCAGCTATTGCGAAACAGAGGGCTGAGTTTACCCAACAGACTGGTGCTGCTCCTACTGCAACTCGAAATAGTGCTGCGTTCGGGGAACGCTCTTCCTTGAATGCACCAACAATCTCGGCTCCAGATAGTGGTAAAGAT